GATACTATCATAGATATATAATATAGTGTACTAAGTTTCAATTACCCACGAATAGTATTATACACTCACAACAAAATAACTAAAATAGGTATGCTAGGTTTTTTAATATGTAATTTCGTCCCAAATTTGAACTTAAAATGTCTGTGAAAAATAACTGTGCTCATATATTTTTTAGATTTTTTGGCTACAGTATGAACTATTTATGAGAATCTTTTTTTTAAACTTTCAATCCTTAGCTATAAAAACTGAACATTTTATAATTTATTAATTGCGATGATTGATAATTTTCGAGATTTTGATAAATTTTGTCAAAATGCGATCTTTAACTACTTATTTTAGAATTAACTACTTACGTGGAATCTTGTTTTAAATTTAAAATCCTTAGATATAAAAGTTAAACATTTAAAAAATATTTAACTACAAAATAATTATTCAATTTTAAATTTCATACATTTTGTCAAAATTCGATCTTTAAATGCTTATAAAAAAAAATTGTGCCTATGTATTTATAATATTTTTCAATTGCTATTGTAACAATATATCAGGAGCCTTCTATTAAATTTTTACACTTTTTGGCCCAACAGATAAAACTTTATTGATATTTATAGAAAAAAAAACTAAAAAAAAATGAAAGCTGTAAATGTCCATAAACAGCTCAAAAAGAGTCAAAATATTTTCAAAATTGTATGGTGTATAGGAAATGCTAATATAAACATTCAGTGAAATTTTCATGTATCTACAGTTATTTGTTTTTGAATTGCAACAAAATAAGGAAATTGCCACATGAGAAATTGAGTGAATATCCAATGTTGTAAAAATTTGAATTTCAAACGCTCATAAAAATTTAATTTGACTTTCTTATAGAATTTTTTTTTTTGATAAATGTAGGAAATGTTATAAGGAATCTTGTATTACATTTTCATATCTTAGATTTAAAAAGAAAAATTTTTATGAATTTCTAACTCGAAATAATTTGCAAATTTTCGTGATTTTCCCATATTTTGTCATTTTTTGAACTTTAAATGCTTAAAAAAAAAACTGTGACTAACGATTCTTAATATTTTTCATCTGTCTTTTAAACAATATAGTAGGAGCCTTGTATTACATTTTCAAGTATTTTTACTCAACAAATAAATTTTTATTGATATTCATAAAAAAAAACTAATAAAATTGGAAACTGAAAATGTCCCTAAACAGTTCAAAATAAATCAAAATATTTTGAAAATGTTATCTTGTATAGAAAATATAAATATAAACAACCACTGAAATTTTCATGTATCTACGGTCATTTGTTTTAAAGTTACACCAAAAACCAAAATCGATTTTCTTGAAAACAGATTTTGCGTAAAAATTCCCATTTTTCCTTAATTTTTCTTTTGTTTTTCCTGGCGCTTTTGAAAACTACTGTGAAATTTAAATTTTGACCTCCCCAATGCACCAACGATATTCACTTTCCAATCGAACAAGATACTGAAGTTGAAAATCGATGCATTATTTCTACTACTTATCGTGTACACAGACACAAAAAAAAAATAAAATAAATAAAAAAACACACATCATTGTAAAATCAATACAATAAAAAATCGTTTCACTCAGAATCTAAAATAATCACATAATATTAAAATTATAATAAATAGAAGACTAAACAGTTAAGTTCTAGTAGGTAGCTACAGAACACGTTACCACTAACCTCGGACGAATAGTCGAATAGACGAGTAGTCAGTAGACGACAACTGATAACTATCGACTGCAAATGTGCAACAAATTTCAAGAATGATAAAATAATATTTTATAATACCAAGAATAAGTCAATACCATAGACATATTAAAAATATGTCTATGGTCAATACATACGACTACGGGTAACAGTTTACATACTTACGTGTTGTACAAGTCGCGCAATGCACTAGTAGATAGTAGATAAACACATCTATTTTTAGCATTCGGTGTAATCGAAGTGTCGACGTCGTCGTCGTCTTATCTTTTATAGAAATATAATATTATATACAAATACAATATTATTTTGAAAATAATAAAAATACTATTAAAATACTGACGATGCCAAATTGCCGACAACTTTTACCAAGTGTCCAATTTGCCGACTAAATATTTAAAAAATCATGAGTGGGGGGGTTAGACACCCCCCCCCACGCCCCCCTCAAAGGACGGCCCTGTCAATGATACAATATCATTGTATAAGAAAAACGATTCTGAGAGAAGACGATATGTCAGTCTAGGTTTAAGACCAATTATATACATATCTATGGTATTAAAAAAAAATTGACCTATAATAAATTCCAAATTAATCATATCACATTATCACAATATCCATTAGGTACCAACTTATAACACGTTATACTTATACATGATACATCAACATCAATAACAAACCCTGATACTATCATAGATATATAATAGTACACTTTAGAAGTTTCAAGTAGGTACCCACGAATATTATATAATATAATCACAACAAAATAACTAGGTTTTTTAATATGTAATTTCGTCCAAATTTGAACATAAAATGACTATAAAAATAAACTGTGATTGTATATTTTTTAGATTTTTCGGTAAGAGAATTAACTACTTACGTGGAATCTTGTTTTTAATTTTCAATCCTTAGCTATAAAAACTGAACATTTTATAATTTATTAATTACGATGGTTAATAATTTTCGAGATTTTGAAAAATTCTGTCAAAATTCGATGTTTAAATGCTTATAAGAAAAAATTGTGCCTATGTATTTTTAATATTTTTCAACTGATATTGTAACAATATACCAGGAGCCTTGTATTACATTTTTACACTTTTTGGCCCAACAGATAAAACTTTATTGATATTTATAGAAAAAAAAACTAAAAAAATTGAAAAATGAAAATATCCGTAAACAGCTCAAAAAGAGTCAAAATATTTTCAAAATTGTATGGTGTATAGGAATTAGGAAATGCTAATATAAACATTCAGTGAAATTTTCATGTATCTATAGTTATTCGTTTATGAAAAACAACAAAATAAGGAAATCGCTACATGAGAAATCGAGTGAACATCCAATGTTGTAAAAATTTGAATTTCAAACGCTCATAAAAATTTAATTTGATTGTCAGGTAGAGATTTTTTTATTGATAAAGGTAGACAAACTTATGAGTAATCTTGTATTACATTTTCAAATCTTAGATTTAAAAAGAAAAATTTTTTCGAATTCTTAACTCAAAATAATTTGCTAATTTTCATGATTTTTCCATATTTTGTCAATTTTTGAACTTTAAATGCTTAAAAAAAAAACTGTGACTAACGATTTTTAATATTTTGAATCTGCCTTTGAAAAAATATACTAGGAGCCTTCTATTAAATTTTCAAGTTTTTTTAACCAACAAATAAAATTTTATTGATATTTCTAGAAAAAAAACTAAAAAAAAATGAAAAATGAAAATGTCCCTAAACAGTTCAAAATAAATCAAAATCTTTTGAAAATGTTATCGTGTATAGAAAATGCAAATATAAACAACCAGTGAAAATTTCATGTATCTACGGTCATTTGTTTTAAAGTTACACCAAAACCAAATTCAATTTTCTAAAAAATCGATTTTGGGTAAAAATTCCCGTTTTTCCTTAATTTTCTTAGTTTTCTTGGCGCTTTTGAAAAGTACTGGGAATTTTAAATTTTGACCTCCTCAATGCACCACTTTCCAATCGAACAAGATACTGAAGTGGAAAATCGAAGCATTATTTCGACTACTATTATCGTGTACACAGACACAAAAATAAAAAAAAATATAAAAATATAAAAACACACATCATTGTAAAATCAATACATTCATCGTTCACTCAGAATCTAAAAACTAATAAAATTGGAAACTGAAAATGTCCCTAAACAGTTCAAAATAAATCAAAATATTTTGAAAATGCTATCGTGTATAGAAAATGCAAATATAAACAACCACTGAAAATTTCATGTATCTACGGTCATTTGTTTTGAAGTTACACCAAAAATAAAAATCAATTTTCTCGAAAACAGATTTTGCGTAAAAATTCCCGTTTTCCACAAAAAAAAATAAAAAAACACACATCATTGTAAAATCAATACATTCATCGTTTTACTCAGAATCTAAAACTATATTTAAATTTAATGAAAATAGCCCAAGTTAGAGCTACCTAATTATTATTGTTAATTTTTGCCGAAAAATCATAGAGTGATTGTAATAATTAACATGTGGATCATATTTTGCTAATGCCGTATGAATAGGACAGGTAACCTAACTATTATTCTTAGAAATTCAAAATAATAATTAGCTCTATCTAGGGCAATTTTCATTACATTTTAATATTTTTTTTTTTTTTTGAACTGTTTTAAAAAATACGTGATCATAGTTGAAAATATGTTCGAGCCATGAACATATTATATACTGTTAAGGACTGGCTACTGCTAGACAGGTGTGATTCGCTTATTGTCGCCAGTTCATTAATAATGCGCTAGGAGCGCTACGCATGCGTTCGCCCGTGAGGTATTCGTAAATATAACTCCTGTCGTGTACTCATAATACTAAAATTGATTACAATAAAAATCATAAATTACTGTAAAATGTACTATATTATGAATTATACTTTTCATATAATATAAGAATTCTGTTGATTGGGGTGTTACCAATGGGTGACTTCCCCTCTCCCGCTTATCCACCCAATCAAATTTACTCATTGTAATATATTATATTGTAATTACAGATTGTAAATAAAATTTTGTTCAATAAAAAAAATAAAAAATAAATTCTGTTTGATACTTTTTAACTAGTGTTAATAGGAAAACCGTGACTTGCCCGAAGAAAAATGCCGCCCAGTGGCCGGGAATCGATCCGGCGTCGGCAGCGTCGCGACCGACGCCTTAGACCGCTCGGCCACCTCGTCCCCCTATTATATATTATACAGATAGTATATTAATATAATAATAATATTATAATAAAAACATACACAAAAAACAACTTTTTTTTTAAAAAATGTAACAATTTTTATGTTAACGTGAATTTTGCTATCTTCTTTTTGTTCATATTTTCTTTTTGTGCTTCGGAATAATAGCTTTGCGAAAACTGTCGCATTCTCATATTTATATAATATTTGATAGTAAAAGCTATTATTTCTTCACTGTGTTGAAAACAAGGAAAATAAAGAGTGTCTTCTAACAGTTCGGTGAGTATTAGCTCTAAAACGTCTGCCATTTCACAATACTTGGAAAACAACTGTTCAATTTTGCATTTAAAATTAAAAAAATTAATATTTGGGTGTATTAAACCTCCTTTGGACTTTAAGTTAACTAGCCGTGCAACCGGTTCATATGAACACAAATTAATATTTTGTTTGATTGCAGATTGACATGTCACACATTTAAAATAGCGTAAAATTTGTTTACACAAATACCCTGTGACATAATATATTACACAATCGATTACAGGAGCTACAAAATAATTATAATCACTGGGTTTTATTATATCATCTAAACTCCAGTCATCATTGTAATGATATGCTCACACACCATTATAATAAACTAAAATCTTACAGAATACTTAATAAATAACGGCCAGACTGTCGTTTGTAGAAATCGGTCACATCAAATAAAACCATTATTAACGACAACTAAGATATCGGCACGCACTCATAACGGTAAAACGCAGGGTGTGTGACTTTATTATATGATGCCGCCAGAGAAAAGGAAAGGAAAAAAAGGGTATCTGCCGCCAAAGAATAATCTAGTTCCCAAGCTCACAATAACCTTTTGATAAAGCCGCCTACCACTCTCTGGTCAGCATCTAAGCGTCATCCCTTAAACCAGTGCATGAGCACCATTCACAGAGTAACAACCTCCAAAAAAAGTCTAAAAAGACCGATTTCAACGAGCGACATTATGGACTCCTTATGTGAGCAATAATCAGTGCGTTTATTATTTCGAGTTATAATTTAAAAAAATATTACTCTGTGTCTATTAAAACCCTTACAAAATAATTCACAATCGACTGCGGATCAGGTAAGGGAATTAATATAATATTTTATGTTAATTGCATTTATTATATTATCTATGCATGTTTTTTATACAATTGTGTTGTATAGTGTATTTGATTTAATTCTTGAAAACACGATCTCAAGAGCAATCCGATCACCTGGAGGAAGGTAATTGCTTAGTCTTACGATTTTAATATATTTATCGACAGGCGTCGTATCTTATTTTATATCGTAATTTTTGAGTCTTTACATCATGTTGAATTGCAAAGTCCAATTTTTCACGGATCGAATGTAATAATGGTTTGTTTTTTTCCGGATTATAATAAATTGTTTTGATACTATCAAGAGAGATTAAATTTTGAGAAGGTTTATTATTTTCTATGGTGCAGTTTCCTGATTTGGGAGGTTTAAATACACTGTAAACGGATAACATTTTGTATAATTGTAAAAAGGTTGGAGTAGCTGGATGGTCATTTGCACCTCCTGCTTGGCGAATTGTACCAAAAAACGCTAAATAGGTAATAATTTAAACTTTAATAATGGTCATAATTAAGTATATTATATTTTTCTTACTTCCACATCATCTTGATTAATTTTTCCAGTAAGAGCAAATTTCTAAAGTGGAAGTCAAAGTTACCCTTAGCCCTTCTGAAGTATTATTGGTAAGAAAGTGTTTTGGCTTTATTTTGTTATCAATAACACGCTGTTCCCATTCATTCAACCACTCCAGAGTATTTTGTAAAATCTGCAAAATAACATCAAAATAGTTTAATTCTATTGAATAAAAATATTTTAAGCATTTTAGCTAATGCAAATCAACACCAAACGCCAATTTAAATTAATAATTTGCTAGGATTGTATAAGCTGTTGGTACTCAAGCAAGCAAACTGCATATAGTTAAATTTCCTATACCTATGGTTGTATAGAATAAAGATCATGATTAAAATGCAACTCATTAATTGTTAAATAAATATAAGACCTTATTAAACTTATTTAATAATCAAGCAATTAGTTATCACCAAACTACCAAAGTAAACTAATTTTAAGCATAAAGCCATTATTAGAGGAAAATATGCTCCTCCGAAACAATACAATTATTATTAAAATTATATTAATTTTGCTTACACATTTTGTACGGTTTAAGGTAGATCCGATCCATTGATGGCTGATTTAAAATTAAAATTAAAAAGGTAGTTAAATGGGCATATAGATTTTACTAACTTTTTAAATGTTTAATGGTAACTTAGAACATTAAATATCAATGTAAATTGACATAGATATCATATCACTGTAAAAGTTGTTTTTGTATATTTGAGATTATATCATGGGTTATTCAATATTTAGATATTTTAATATATTATAGCTGATTTGTTTTATTTAAAAATTATTGATATTAATTTCATTAAAATTGTACCTGAAAAAAATATATTTTTTGAATCATTCACGGTAAATGTATTACCAATTATTATCATTTTGATAAAAAAATAAATATTAATTATTTTACTTTATAATCATCACTATTTGGCGACCCTCCTTCATTCTTTAGCTTTCGATTTAATGCATCAAACGCTGCATTCATTTTCAAGCAAAAATCCTCAGTTGCTGTAGAATCGCTTAACTGAGAGATATTAAAGAGCGATAAAACTCAAGGCTCTTTGCCATTGAGTTACTAAGAATCTATAACATAAAATAATCATTATTAGTTAAAAGAATAAATGTCTATAAAAATAAAATAATGAATAATAATGCTACCTGCACAGCAAGACGAACACGCATTTTTGCAGAACTGTTCAAAACTATATGAGATGCAGATAATTTAGGACAAACTTTTAAATTCCCAGGATTCAGTTTATCCAAATTGTAAACATTTACAAAATGATCCCATTTTACTGGTGTTTCATTTTCATGAATCTAAAAATTTGAATTCTGGTTACTTTTTAATATATTTTGTTCCCTTTATCTGACATTGAACATTATTAAAAATGTTCATAGTGAATCTATAGTTTTTAACTTTAATTTTAAAAAAAACATGGATTTCAAAATTCATTTTGAAATATTCTCATCATTAAATTCTACTACTGGTCAGTTTACTATAATGTTTTAAATTAAAAATCTATTTAGATATTGGTATGAATAAATTAAATTAAATTTCTAATAATCAACATAGACCAGCCATTGTCATTTTTAACTTTTAAGTATTGCAATATATAGTTATATAAACTACATTTTTTTTTTTTTTTTGAATAAGAACCATTTATTATATAACTTAACATATTTTAACATTTTGTCAGTAATAAATATATGGGTTATCAACCTCCTGTAAGCAATAAAGCTTGTGTTGGAGGTTGAGAATTATAATACTTATTTTTAGTGGAATTTGCTCTTAGATATTAAAATATATCAACAAAACAACAAACCTTGAGCTCTTTATTATTATAGAGCCTATTTCTGATATTCTTAAATAAATGCGGCGTATCAGAGAACACAAATATTTTCCGTTTTTCATCTGTTGGGTGCTCAAACCAATTTTTAACTTTATTAATTTTTCCACATATTCCCATTTCGCTCCAAAATTTTCGATTTGGGGCTGCCCCGTCACATACAATTCCATGGATAAACGCTCCTGCTTTTTCGAGTACTGTGATAGCTTTTATTACTAACTGAGTTAGTACTACACCTTTAGTCGGTCCCTTTGATGCAAAAACACCAACGGGTTGGGCATAATTATCTTCTAATGGTATGAACATAAATACTAATCCATGATTTGCTTTATCACTGAAAGTTTTTCCTTTCTCACCTTCTTCACCAAAATCAACTAGACCTGTAAGGTATTCAATAATATGAGAAAATATGAGAAAATACCAATTTTATCTGTGTTTCATTGTTTACCTGTATATGTAAGATTTGCCGAGTTAACTGCAATACTCTCGCGAGTGGAAATTTCATCAAACACGAGCAAACCATGGCGTTGAAATTTTTCTTTTTGTGCCATATAAAGAGAAAACATCTGTAGAAATTTTGGATCAAACCCACATTGTGTATCGATAGATGATAGGTACCTTAAACATGATTTTAATTTATAAAAATGTTTAAACAAGTAATATTATTATATTACCTTCTTATGGTCCTTACACAAGGTAATGGCATAATGTCATTATTTCTAACAAAATTATAGCCACATGGTGAACGCATATGAAATAGTAAACATAAAAGGATCCAATCTTCGGAATATCTGCTACCTTTTAAATTGAGGACTTGTGATGCGGACAAAATTTCATGTAAGGCAACCCGTTGATTAGTAGGTATCTTATTAGTTGTTAGCCTTTCTTCAAGATTCATTGTGGTCAGTTTTGACATTTCACCTTGCATATTAAATAATTTATTTTTTAGCTTTTTATTGAGTATTACAGCTCGATATTTCCTTTGCAATGTTAATTTGTGATTTTTACGAAGTTGTTGTACTTTGGAACTAGATAAAATATGAATTCTCTTTGGAGTAGTATTATTTTTTTGTAAACGAGAGCCTTTTGCGCATAATAGTCCGTATAGCTTTGTTACAATATTTACAGTCATTATTTTGGTTCAAGATGAGTGGACACATGATATGTCTAAGATTACCAGCCGGATCTGTAAATGTTGTTTTAGAATGTAGAAGTTGTTCTTTTAATTTATATCCTTTACAAATGACACTAGTATCAAATTTTTTTAAAATATCTTCTAAGTCTTTAATACAATTTAATCTATTTAATCCAAAAAGGTCATTATTAACTGATATATTCATAACAAAACATTGAACATTTAAATTTACTCCTAGGCATACTCTTTTATATAAAATAGGAGTGGGAATATAATTTTCTGTAATTGCTGTTTCTTCTGTTTTAACAATAAAAAAAGAAAACATTATCAACTTTCCAGGAATGTCATGCCTGCTCCATCCACTTGGAAAAACAATGCTATTAACATTTTCTTGAAGTTTAGAGAATGAGAAAATCCCTACTGAATCATTAATAGAATCAGTAATAGCAATTTCTATTGACGGTTTAGAATTGAATGCACAATCCATTTGTGGGTCTTTTTTTTTGTCGGTTTTCTTTTTTTTAGGTGAGCTACTTCTAATTAATGGTAATTTCCTTCGTTTTAAAGAGTAGGATAGGTATTTTGGACAGTTTGGAAATATTGACGGTATAGCTCCTTCTTTTAATTTCGGAATTTTATATACAGCCTGTTGAAAAATGATAATTATTAATTTCTAAAATAATATGTATATTTATTAATTACTAAAAGTACTGGCTGGTGCCTAATGGTAACAATTACAATGATGTAAATATGTTTGGTGTTTTAGAATAACAAGGAAATACAATTGCTATACATTTCATATTTTTACTTAATGCAATTGAATTTGTATTTGTTTTAATTAGATTGTGCTTATAAGTAAATATTAAATTAGCCAATAGGTAGGGTACCTATTTATACCTAATAGACATAGAAAACATACCTCAGCTAAAATTGTCCCATCTTTGTCAGTCATTATTCGTTTCCTTAAAATTTCTTCTTCGTGGAAATGCCGTTCACAAACTACCTGACGAGGTTTTATTAAAAAGTCTTTCCTCGGAATTGCTTTTGTCCATTCTCGTAATTGAATATCATCCTTGGGAACTGTGAAAAAATGATATTTTTCTTTACAAGAATCATAACCGGAATTACAACCGGGGGCAATACAGCGATGTCCTGGCATTTTTCACGCGGAAAAAATTAACTTCTTAATTAACAAATCAACAACTTAATTCACTTAATCAACACTATAAAAATATAAAATGTATTCTAATTTTGAAGGAGACAAATTTACTATTTTAATGGACAAGTCAATCCGTATTCCGTAACGGGTCACGGTGGTGACTGGTGAACTTGAAAATTAAGGCGAACTGAGCGTCGCGCTCCTAGCGGATTATATCAACAACAGCAACAATAACATCGTCAAAAGTGCATAGGCGTGGTTCGAGCTACAACGAACGTGTGGCAACACTGGTTCTGATATGAATAAGGTTATTATCAAAGATAAGTACTATCATTTCCCGCCTAATTTAATGCTCATTATTGTTATCGTTTCATAATTCCCCATAGATATATATTATTAAAACTAATTAATTTAGTTTAATAATATATAGGTATCTATGTAATTCACTAATTCCCCGCAAATTGCAATCACGATTCAAGAATTAAGATACGTCATAATGAATACACAAATAAGTACCTAATAACTTATTAACTTAATAACAGTTTATACTTTATAGGTAGGTACCCAATTCCATTATTCATCAATCATAATTTATAATTTATAATAAATGCTATGTGCTATAAACTGTATATTAGAATAAAACATAAGTGGATTAGTTATATTTATGTGCCTACCTATTATAAATAATAATAATTAATAGATCTTATTCGTTGTTATAATTTTGTGTCTGTGCGGCTGTTCCTTGTAGATAACGTCTAATTTTAGTAAGTACATATTTATTTCTTAATCTGTAAAATATAGCATCAATTTGATGAACTATAATATAATATATTTCCTTGTATGGTACCATGTAGGTAGGTATACAGAGTGTAACAGATAGAACTGACTTTTGGAATAACTTTTGTTCTAATTTATATTTAAAATTTTTTTTTTTAATTTAAAGTCACGTCTTACACTACACATATAATATTAAAAAAAAATTATTTTTATTTTTTAACACTAAAAATAAAAAAATTTAAAATTTGATTTAAATTGTTTTGAATTTATTCAAAATAGCCAATTTGTGAATCTGATTATAAGAACAATTATGATATTAAAAACATTTATCTAAGTCAAATAGTTAATTTTTTTGGAATTTTTTTAAATATCAATTTTTTTTTTGATTGCCTTAATGAATTTGGAACGTAATAACTTTTTTCAAAATATTGTTTTTGGGAATTTTCTGACATCAGTATATTTCTCAAATTATTTGCGAATTTTATAATTTCAAGAATTTTTGTCATACGTTTAAGTAGCATCATTTTTTTTTTCGTCAAGTCTTTCTGTTACATCTTACAATACATGATACAAAAATAATTATGTAGGTATATTATAAAATGTGTTACACAACTTACACTTACACATAGTTTTTTGTATTTTAGGAATCAGGATGGATAAAAAGAAAATTAAGTTATTAAATACGGGTACAACACAAAAAAAACCTACTAGTAGGTCCAATGTAAGTAACATTAGTATGACTCCAAATAATAATACACCAAAAAATGTGAATCATCGTTCCAAAAGTAATCTTACTACTCTAAAAGATAGTGATGCTGTTAGACGACTCAAAAGTAAGTACAACACAGCTAAAATAAATATAAATTTTAAATACCTAGTTTAACAGGGCTTGTTAAACTATACAGATTTAAAAAAAAAATTGTATTACACCTACTTATGCAGTATACCGTATAATAATGGTAGTATGATTTAACAAGTTGACTGCTCTACCAATTTCAATGATTTTTCTACAAAAGTCTTAAGTATTATCCATACACACTCAGTAGTTTTATAAACCCAGGCTGAGTATCTCGTATAAAATGATACTCGGTTTTTTTTTAGTATTTCTGGCATGGGAATTCCCTAAATATAAATAAATAAATAATCTAGAAAATGTTGAATATCATAATATAATTTGTAATATTCAATTTTATGTCATAGGTATTAGTACCAACGTTACCTTAGAAAGAAATGGCAGTATGCCAAATTTAAACGCAACTGGTAATAGATTACAATTGGACAAAACTACCAAGCTAAGATTTGCATATGACAAGTATCTCAGCAGCTTGGAAGCTAAATATGTGTTTCAGAAGATTGAAAAAAATATATCTTCAAATGTCAATGAACAAAAAAAGGTTTTTAGGGATGAATTTGATATTCTCAAAGGTCAATTAGTAACTTTAAGTAACGAATTAGAAAAGATAAATGGATTAAAAACGGAAAAAAAATTAATTGATCAAAAAATTGAAGCACTTGAAATGATCAGTAAGCATGTATTGATTCGCATATTATATTTAAATTATGTATTATTAACTTATGTAAATTTGTTTTAATTTTAGATAAAGCTCTTGTATTTAATGATTCTGATGAAGAAATTATGACATTGTTCTCTAGTACGGCATCCAAAGTTGTTTTAAAGAATTTTAAGCAATTGGATGAAAGTGACTTAAGTAAGTTAACTCAAGAGAGATACTGTAATTTATTAAAATAGTGATAGCCTTCAAAAGTGGAATATCTACCAATCCATTAATTTGGTTATTAACTTGACTTTATCAGGCCCGTGTATGAAAATTTGATTGGAGGCTTTTTTATACATAATTAAAATAATTCCAAAATGTATGTTATTGTAGATTTTCTAAGATTTTTTACTCATTTATTTTCACTCATTTTAAAATCCATACCTATCCATTTTTAACTTGTTAGAACTTATTTGTAACTGAGACTAAAAACTAAATATAAGTTGTTGTAGAAATAACATAAAAATAAGATAATTAAATACTTTTGAACCTCTGAAAACTGAAAAATAACTCAGATTAGGATTTTTGATTTTGGTTAATTTTAAGTAGATAAAAAATGAGTTTCAATTGAAACCCAAAATTATTATTCCAGATAGTTGAATAGGTAGATACATATTATTTTTTGATTTCCAACTATAAATAAATATATATGGCATTGTCTATTAAGGTATAATTTACTTAATCAAAAACTATTGTTGGTTTAAGAACTTACTTACTGACTAATTAATGCATAACTTTTCTGTACCATAAAATAATTAAAAAAATTCTTATCTATTGCTGTTATGTTCTTGAGTTTCCTATTTTTTTTTTTTAGTATCACCACTTGATAGCTTTCAAATTATTGTTTTTTATATGATACAGGGTGATTCATAATCATGATCAACTTCCTTTTTACTTTAATAATGCAGTTATTCAAAATCTGATTTTTGGAATTTTTAAATATATTCAAAGACCATATTTTAAAATTCAGGAAAATTGTTATACCACTATTAAGGAGTGTCCTGTAGCAAAACAGATGCGATATTGAATCTTGTATTTATTATACTTAAACCATTTTTATATCACCATTCACCATACACCCATAATCATTGACCTGTTATCATTAGTACACAAAGTTAAATAATTCAAAAACTACTTGTTTGAATTTTGATTCTGATATGTAAATATTTTTAGAAAAATTATTTGGTTAATAATTTACATTCAAAAAGGAGGATTCTCATTTAGAAAACAGAAGTTTGAGTTGTCACAGGACACTAATTGTAAATATATAAGCCTGGAGTTGCCTAGCAGTATTTAATTATCTTAAATAAATAAATCAATAATGCCAAAATGTAATAACTAATAACACCCTATATTTTTATAACTATTTCTAGTATATTGATCATAGTCGTGGTAGATAATATAACAGCTGTATAACCACAAAATACTAGAATAGATTTAATCTATACAGTGGTACAACCCCAAAAACACAGATTAAGATAGTCATCAATAGAGACCGGATTTATATGCACTTAAAATCTTGAAAATAAGATGCTTCTATGCTCTATAATTTCATCAAAATATTCTTTTTCATAAAAATGTATTAAACACTGAAAAAACAAATAAAAGTAACAGTTTATAAAAATAAACAGTTATATTTAATCTATAATATGGTGATATACTGTTATACTAGTGTACCTATATTTAACTGTTGTAACACAAACTTATAAATTCAAAAAATAATACTGAAATAAAAAATAATTGCATATAGTTCATTAACAGAAAAATATTATGTATTCAAACTCAAACTTAAATAATTCAGCCTTATGAACTCAAAAATAAATAATAATAACAAGTTTTTTAATAATTATCTATTAGATTTTTACAAAATATTCAAATTTGAACCCAATATAGCAATATATTCCTAAAACATGTTTTATACACAAAATATCTTTTTTTATGCTCTAAAATATGTTGTATACCAGTTCATAGGTAATTGAATCGTCGAGAAAGCTTATCCAATTGGAGCTGCATACTCTTATTAAAGATATGTAAAAACATAAAAATCCGGTCTCTAGTCATCAACAATCTTACAACACAATACTCATATCATTCATATCAATTTTCACTTTTAGTTAATGAGCTGGTCTCTACAATTCTCCTCTAAATATGTAGTAATAGATTATAATATGAGCAAATCTAACCAAGATGAGTAATAAATAAAATATAATAAATATTAGAAGAATTTTTTTTTTTTTGATGCTGTTAAGTAATAACTAATAAATATACTTAATTGATAGTTTATATAACAACTTATATAAATAAATTAAATATAAATTAATGTAAAATAGGTATATTGTTCATTAAAAATTAAATAATTTATCAAGCTTCCTTATTTATATAACAAATCCAAAAAATATATACTTATATCAAAAACTATGGGATTTCTCAGGACATTTCTTAATGAAGTATGTCCTAAGACTTGATGTAAGAAAGTCATTTATATCATAGCATTTGAATGAAATAAAAGATTTATGAAACTGTATAAAATGCATGATTTTTTATTTTATAGATGCTGTTAAGATCCTATTGAATGAAATTATAGAGCCATTGAAACTACTTGATTATGAAAATAAAATTTATGTCCGGATTCAATTAAAAGATTCTTTGATTAAAGTCGCAATGTTAACTAAAGAATTAGACACATTGAAATTGAAGTAAGCATTAACTATTATTAACATCTAAACATATTCACTATGAATCATGGTTCAATAAAAATTAAATCAATATCATTATCTAATTTATTAAATTAATCTGAATAATATTTTATAAGGTGTGAAAAGTTATTTGATGAACAAGATAGTTTGCTGAATTATAATAAATCACACAAAATACTAAAAGCTCAATTTGGAGAAAATCCAGACACAAATTTACTGCCAACAACAAGTAACTTAGTGGAGGAAGTTGAAAATATGTTAAATGAAATGGAATGGTAAAATGGCGTGATTTTATTTTTTTAAATGTATACTAAAAATATAAAAATTAAAAATCAAATATTATATTTTTTATTTAAGTTTTTTTTAAATGTTCTTGTTTTTTTATTGAATGTCGTCAGAAACCACTTTTTATTACCCAATTTATTATTTGTGATTTTGAATTATAAAATACTTCAGAATTTATCTTTAACTAATAAATTACTTAAAAAGAATTTATTTATTCTATTTAAATTTTACAATTGTTATCAATTATTTTATTTTAAACATTTTATGGGCAGTGAAAATACAAATTGTGTACATTCAGTGTTGTAAAGTACTTGAGTAAAAGTATTTAAATTCTGTTTAAGTAATCAATTAAATACTTTAAATACTTTCTCGGAGTATCTGTATATAATATCAAATACTTTAATAATTTTTTTTAGTTTAAGTATTTTATATTTCAATTAATTTTAATCACGTAAAATAAAAATTAAAATGAGAATGTGTATAATAATATATTTTTTATTGTGAATTATACTCAACTGAAAATCCAATACTTCGACAAAGAAAACAGTTATACAGTTATTAAAGTTATATAATAATAAAATATATGTTATATGCCTATATGTAACTTATGTAAAACATGAAAATCGGTTCGGTTGATTTATAAGAAATTTAAAAGTATATAATTATTAAATTCTTTTTTTGCTGAGTATTCAAATACATATTTCAAATATTTTTCGAAATAAGAATCTGTACCTGTACTTGAATAATTTAAAAAAGTATTTTTGCATATATGAATTATATAAGTTAATATGAAAATTTGATCTATACATTAATATTTAATTAGTCAAAAAGAGATGGAATTACAGAAAATGTAACTGAATCTTAAAATGAAAATGTTTTGATTGTATTTTTTTTTTTTTTAATTGAGCTTGAGCCCGGCAACCTAGGCAATTACAAGGTAATTATAATTCATGGTAGTGTCACTTCACTATCGAAATAAAATGGTGGCCGAGAGTGGAACCAATCAGATTAGTTTATAATCTAAGGCCGTGTAAAATAATATGATAAAAAATATAATTTAAATTTGCCGCAAAAAATTACTTGTATTTCATTGGTTCCACCTTATGCTGGTTAAAAACATTTGATAGTGATGGCGATAAAAAATAACAATTGTGATTTCGATAGTGAAGTGGCACTACCATGTATTCAGTGCCGGCGCTAGGGGAGGACAGGGCCCCGCGCTTGTTAAAGGGCCCCGTGATTTTTAATTATCATCTTAATACGAATACCGTGGTCTACCGTCGTATATTGCATTATTCTGCCTGCAGCGGTCGCGTACTTAGATATTAAACAATTTATTATTTTATTCAAACATTTTGATGAATTAATTTATTTTTAATTGATGATTTTATGTAGTTGTTAAAATAAATGTAAATTAATAAAATAACCAGCCCTTATGAATTTATTAGCCTACGATTTTCCACTCAAAGGTTTAACTGAAACTCACGCTACGCCACTAATTCTGTGCTGAGCGAGGTTTCATCAGGAGGAATCGCACTCGAATGTGTGGTCTCCGTTTACACAAGTAGGTAAGGTAAAGTGGGGTAAGTGTGACGCAAAAATGAAAAGTTAATTTTGAATTTGACAATACTTTTTTTGTTTTTAACTTAAAGTTGTTATTGTTCCATAATGTAACACCTCTAGATATACATAATTGGAATTTATAGTCAACAAAGTTATATTATCACTCACCTAAGAATAATTTTTTTTTTTTTTTTAATTTTAAAACGTCACACTTGCCCCTTTTCATGGAGCCCCTTTTCATGGGGCAAGTGCAAAATCGGATTGTTTTTGCTATTAGTATTACATACAATTATATATGGGGCAAGTGAATAACAAAGATAAAAATAAGCTTTAATTTGATTTTTGTTTCATTAAAATATCTTGATTCATTAAGAATTGACAGAGCATTATTTAAATTTAATTATTTACCTATATTATATATAAAAACAGTACTTTTTTTTAAAATCCTGATTTAAAAAAAAGCTAAAATTTCACTACTCTCTGAGAACCTAAAGGCTATTACCTATGACCAGGGCCCCGCAATACCTAGCACCGGCACTGCATGTATTATAATAAATTACCTTAGGCAATTAGCTGTTTTGTTTGTTAGTAGGTTAGGAACTGTTTAAAACACGTTTTTGTATGCATGGCAAGGATTTGTTGTTAAAAATCCCAGGTAGTCACCCATCAGGGAACTAGCAACGCCGGCCATTACGTACACTCAGTGGGTTTTCGCAGTTAAATGCACTCACTGTGCCACACGAAGCCACGCTTGGATTATATTATACTTACTACGGAGATAAAATACATATTTTATTGAAACAAGATATTTTGTAGCCATAATTGTTGATTTTTGTAATTGTTTTTTATTTGGCCCTAATATAATTATGCCTAAATCTGTGGCACAAACTATAGTGGAGCAGTGTATTTTTGGCAATGAGAATAATTTGATGAAACATTAAACTGTTAAGAATTTTCTCATATCAGGCTTCCAAGGTAAACATACATTGGTCCATCTATTTAATTTACAGTGCAAAAATTATACAAATATTATTCTCATGGGTGGACAGATAAGTAAACCTGTATGCCACTTATAGTAATTTAATAAATGTATTTGTAATATTACCAAAATGTATGATGACAAACGAAAATAATTGTAATTCTGTTACAACGATTATTGCCATAATTTAACAAAACTGGGCACAATATTAAAAATTATATTTAACTACCTGCAACGGCTGCAACAATTGTACAAAATACAAAAATATAAACAAAATGGTACCTTTTATATTATATTATAATATTATGTGTACAATATTAATATTGTTATTACTCTCGATGGACAATATTACTTAATAATTTGTGATTCTATTCCTATTAATTTTCATAATTGTATTCTCTTATGGACCCACCCCCCAGCCAAATGTTTATATGTATGGCAGCTAGTGTATGTAAACATGGACTTGGCGCCACTGAGTACAATTGTTGATATCTTTTAATCTTAAAATCAATAATTTTATTTAATATATAAATAAAAGAATGCTTCAGTATGTAGAATTTATAGCCAATTATCACTTTATTTAATATTCATTCTAAATTAGTAATAATTTACCTTAACCATATATTTGTGGAAAAAAATATTTTTCAATATTTGCCAAAAAAAAAAAACCGTATGGTTGTACAACAGTAAATGCATTACTTATACCTGATCATTATGATAATAATTGTTATACATAAATTATAGTCATGGATAGCTTTGTATTCATGAATCAATAATTCAATCTAACATTTTTCTTATCATATAGTTCAAAATGCCTCCATGTTTATGGTACAGTATATCCACTTCAGTGTCAAAACGCAAAATGGCATTGAATGTAACACCTGTATTAGTCTGAAAATAAAATAAATAATTAGGAAAATAAAGGGATGTAAAAATTGTTTTAATTTATTATTTACTTTCACTTGGACTTCCTGCAATGGTTTGCAGTTTTGTGGAATATCAATATCATATATTTCATGACCAGTAAGTTTTAATGTTTCAGCATTTTCTCCGAAACGGAATTGCAATGGAATTATTCCCATACCAACTAAGTTGGAACGGTGAATGCGTTCATAAGACTCGGCAATCACAGCTTTAATTCCCTAGACAATAAAAACCATATATTTAATATCTAAAATTGTTTACATCATAATACGTATGCAATGTATTTTATTAATACAATGAAAATTATATAAATATATTACTAGTAAAAACGGTCCCTTTGCTGCCCAATCTCTTGATGAACCTGATCCATAATCTTTGCCAACAATAGCGATGAGCGGTCTTCCCTCTTTAGCATAAACTTGAGCTGCATCAAAAACGTCCAACTAAAATACCAAAAATAATAATTAGTTTGACAAAAAATATTGATTAGAAATATGTATAACCTCCTGTCCGCTAGGAATGTGCAATGTTTTTGGTCCAGTGATCTTGACCAACTTATTTACCAATCTTATGTTAGCGAATGTCCCTCTAGCCATAATATCATCGTTTCCACGTCTTGAGCCATAAGAGTTGAAGTCTTTTGGTGTGATACTAAAAAAAATTGATTGGGATTTTAGTTTTAAACACATCCAATTATTGAAATTAATAATTTGCCTAAGCTCACTTTCTTGAAGCTAAATAACGAGCCGCTGAACTATTTCTTGCAATACTACCAGCAGGGCTTATGTGATCAGTTGTTACAGAATCACCAAGAAACAGTAGTACATGGGCCCCTTTCACTGATTGAACCCCAGGTAATGTCTAAACAAGAAATAATTAAATGGAAACTATCTTACTATTTAATATAAATATATAATAAGGTTTATACTTTATACCTTTGTCATGCCACTGAAAAATGGAGGGTTTTTTATGTAAGTAGACGACACATCCCATGGATATAATTGGCCGTCTGGGGCTTGTAAACATTGCCAGGCATTAGAACCATTTTCAATGCGAGCGTAGACATCTTGGAACATAGCAGGAATTACAGTTTGTTTTTCAACAGTTTGGATTTGTGCTCTAGATGGCCAAATATTCTTCAAAAATACAGGTTTACCATTTTTATCATTACCTAAAAAAGAATTACACAACATTAAAACAATAAAAATCTTTCATAAATAATTGTTATAACTTATGACTCAACATAAATCAACAATTAATAGATAGTTAGGTATTAGATAGAAGGTACCTATCAGTAAATCCTGTGTTAAGGCTTGGGGTTTAGTTTTTTGTGTTTTACTCGCCTTTTAGACAAACAACTTACAAGTGGTATAGGTTAGGCTATCTACTTTCTGATGTCCGATTAGATAAGGTTTTCAATGAATATGTACAAATTTATTAGCTTTTTATCAATTTTTAATTTAAGAAGCCTTCAAATAAAATTTTAAAAAAAATTATAATCATAAATAATATAATTATTTAAAATTAC